GATTCGACTTTCTTTTTTATGAAAAGAAACACTGAGTTTACTGCTAAGAAGAATGTAATGTATTTTTTATTTTTTCTAAAACTGTATATTTATATTTTACCATTGTACATAAATTTAAGTGTCTTGACAAGGTTTCAAGAGTTTTGTATATAGATTTTTTTTTTTTTGGTATATAGTATGTATAACTAATATCTTCTTTACTTATTTATCTTTATCTTTACTTTTTAACTTTGTTTTTATTTGGCCAGATATAACATTTTAATTTTGTACTTTTTTGTTATTCTAAACTGACTTCGTCCCAGAATAAAATTATTTTCTATTCTATTCTAAATGTGTTTTTCGATACATCTCACACATTGTCAAAGGTCCATGGAATATGCGAAACAAAATTCCTTTCATGAATTAATGTGAAAATTAAACAACAAAAAAAAGGAAAATATATATATATATATATATATATATATATATATATATATATATATATATATATATATACAGAGTGTCCCGTAAATAGAGGATATTACCTATTTACGAGGGGAGAATCCTCTACTTAAGAAGGAAATATTTAAGAAGGTGATAGCAGACCTCAAAAGCGCAGAAATGTAGGAACATTACGATTTGTCTTTTTTTAAGTATAATGTTTTTTTGTTGAATAAAAATTTATTACTAAAAAATATTTAATATAAATAATTAACAATTAGGTGCTTCGCAATACATTATACACAATTTACTTCAAACAAAAGTAAGGTTTGTTTGCTAAAATTATTTAAATAGACATTAGAGCGGATAAACTTAACCAAGTTCGGTTTAAAAAAAAAAAAAATCATGAGTCGCGACCCTTTTTTATCACCATCCGATTATATTACATATACCCCACTTTTAGGAAAACTTCCTAGTTTAATAAACTTTATTTTTTTTTTATTTTTTTTTTTTTTTTGTCTATAAAATATATATTTGCGCCTGTCAACAATAAGTTGACAATCAGCAAATGTGATGACGATAATGATATAATGACATGACAGGCATGGGGAAGGAAAGTAATCAGCAGTACCTCTTCCCTAACTTGTTCCAATTATTTAAATTCCATATTAATTGAGTTAAGGCTTATTACGAAATAAGTCAAGATTCATCTCAAGTTGTGGGTAAAAAATGAGGTATTATGATATACTGACACTTAAAAGTACTCGTGTTTCAGCAAAAATGTCTGCAGTAATTTATTGGAAAGTTTTACTTTAATGTTTTTCCATTATCTGTTTATAATTTTATAATAATTATAAATTAATAAATAGACTTTTTCTTTACTAAAAAGTGTGTTAAACATAATAATTTGTCGAATATATATCACCTAAAGTGATAATGATACTGAATTTTTATTAAGATCTCCGTTATATAGTTTGATAAGTGACTAACAAAATGGTCCTAACCCTAGTATTTACGTTATCATGAAAATTATTTAAGCACCTAGCAGGTTTCTTTATTTTAAACGTAAATATTAGGATTGGAAACATTTGGTTAGTTACTTATAAATATTGATCAATTTTTTGGGGGGAAACCACAATTCCATTATCACTTCAGATGATACATATTTCAAAAATTATTAAAAATGTGAATAAAAAATTGTTTGTGAATAAAATGTGAATTATGTGGTTATTTCTCTCCACTAATATATCTAGTTCTAGTTTCCAAAGCAACCATGAAAAGCAAAGCGAATCGGTATACAAGTAAATGAAGATAAAACAAAACATATGATAATAAACCGAAAATTTCATACTTACAACAGGATATGAGTAGAAGGGAAATAGTTCCCGAGAGTAGATGAATTCAAATACCTCGACGTCTCAATAACCTCAATGAATGAGCAACGGTCAGAAATTAACCAGCATATAACAGGCGCCAATAGAGCTTTCTTCTATATTTAAAATTTATTGAAATCTCTAAAAATTTCAAATAAAAGATGTAGAATGCTATAATAAAGTCAGTTAAAATACACAGCTGCGAGGCCAGGACATTAACCAGCACCATAGAGCGATCAAACTATTGAAATTTTTGAGAAAAAAATCCTCCGCACGATAGCCAGAGCGATCTGAGAGTACTAACAAGGAGAAAGACCAATAAAGAACTGCTTACTGAAACTGATCAATCAATATCTCATGATATGAAGGTGAGGAGCTTAAGATAGGAGGTTAATTCTCAACTCACCAAAAATAACCTCTGAAAAAAAAAATACTGCTCAGTTTATATTCCATACCCATCAATACCAATAGGTGACTGTGATAAATTATCATTCATTAAGTAGAGAGAAATTCATCTTGGCATCCATAGCGAAAAATTGTTCGTTATTGATAGATAACTAAATTAATTTATTACCTTGTATTTGATGATCGATTATAAATAGTTCGACTAAGGGATAATAGATTTATCACAACTTCTCCCATAGATAAGGTAATATTTATTCCGAATTCTGTGATCAACCTGATACCGATATGTTATCGATTAAAATAATTCTAATACCTCAATAAATATCACACAAATGTTGGCCCAGAATCCACGCTTACTAAGTACTGAACTCAATCTTCATGGATTTTAATGGTGAAGGTTTTTTTTTGTTTTTTTATTAAGATATATCAACTGTATGAAGAAAATATAACTAACTATTAAGAAAGGAGATGGTTCGGGGTGGCGGTCATAAATAGGCTGAATAGTGGTAAAACTATTTTATTAAAGCCAACGTTTCGACCCTACTTTACAGGTCTTCTTCAGGGGGATGTGTTCAGCTAGGAGTTTCACTTAGAACTCAGTTCCTGAAACTCCTAGCTGAAAACACCTCAATTCTAAGTGGAACTCCTAGCTGAACACACCTCCCTGAAGAAAATCTGTAAATTCGGGTCGAAACGTTGGCTTTTAATAAAATAGTTTTGCCACTATTCAGCCTATTTATGACCGCCACCCCGAACCATCTCCTTGCTTTATAATGCAATGGTCAACTATTAATTATTCAATAACTAACTATTATTTCCAATAATACTTAGCGTTTAATTTACCATAATGCAGAGGAAGTCCTTGATTATATTGAGAACAATAACAATCTGAGATGCTAATCGATATTAACACAATCGCCGGCAACCCTGAAGATATTAAATGAGTAATATTCCGTCACAATTTGAGTGCGCCAGGAGCTGGGTGCCTTAACAGCCATCTTGGGTCGTGATTAAGAAATAACGAAGACAATTATCGCCATTAGTAAAAACTATACAAATTCCACAGCCCCTTAAATCAACCTGAGGATCTGGTGTTAAAATAATTAAAACTAATAACAGATCATGGCACAATAATCTTTCGTATGTATATTACACCTTTTTTTATTTTATTTTATTTTCATCATTCCTTATAGTTTTAAATATCTAATCAATAGCTGTGAATGAAATAAATATCTGTTTAAAAATACATGTTGTCTTCCAGTTTACCATTAAATATTAAAATTATTGTATTAAATGTTCCTTTGAAGGTGCGTAACGATTTTATGGACGATCGGCTCGACCTGTTACTAAGTTTAGTGGCTATAATTCTTCGTTGAGATCGCTTGAATGTTTTAAAACAAATTGAAGCTAAAAACACTGAAACATAAATTATGTTTTCTAGATTTTTATTTTTCGGTTTCCTACGACATTATGTAAAAGTTCATAACTTATGTGATGAATATTCATAAATTTCCTATACTTTCAAATTAAAAATGTTAATTTTTTTTTATCTTTAAACATATATACATATCTATTTAAACCCATATGGAGGTATGAGATAGCTTTAGAATTCAGCAAAAGAGATGCGCACAAACAAAAACGTAAAGAACTTAACTACATGTGCCAACTCACAACAACCAACAATTGACCAACACATACATACTCTTTACTTCTAATTTCATAATAAACTTCATGACATCAACAGACTTAAAAAAAAACCTGCTAAACATGGCTAACCTGCTAATCAGGAAGAGATTGAAAAGATTCAGGATGAGAGATCTTTCCTGAATTAAGGGGGTGACCAAAGACCAGAAAGAGGAAATGCTGGCTACTGCCCTTCCTCAGAGAGAGAAACACTTTATTTTCATAAAATATAAAGGATTGCTGCCCAATTATATTGGGTTGCTATATACACAGCATACTCTTCTATCCTTAGGACAATATATGAACTTATATATAAATATACAGAAGTATTAGTTAATATTAATAAAATAGATATACACATATATACCATACACATATATTTCCATTTTTTTTTTTCCTTTTTCCTTCCTTTCATTGTTCATGCTTTTTTTTTTTTTAACACTTAGTTTCCCTTTCTCTCACTTCTCTCTCTTTATCTCTGTTGTTTATCTCTATTGTGTTCCTAAAAAGCCAGTACCAATTTCAAGAACTCAACTGCTGATTGTTGCATTCATGATAATAATGTATGAAGAAAGAAAATAAAAAAAATGGGGGGCAGAAAATCTTAATTTTGGAGATTGGAGGGTCCAGCCCACTACAACATTAGAGTTTGAATGAAATGAGGACCGGTGTTGCGAAGAGTTTCGTATTCAGGAAGTCACTCTTTTCTGTGAGCCACTTTACTTTCAAATAAAAAAGAGTAAGTTGTGCCCACAGAATTGTAAACAAAACTGTTAAAATTGTTGTAGAGTGTTTTAGCACAACCATGGGTAATACCATAAGTAATACATAAAGCTTAAAAGAGTGGAAATTAAAATAAAATACAGGATTCTCTATGAAATTAAAAATTAGTTTTTTAACAAACTCAAGATTGTTTCTGGAACTTGGTATCAAGAAAATTATTCCAATTTTGGAGTGATGTTACATCCCTAGATGATTATTCTAAAAATTATTAATGATATAGATAAAATTAATAAGATAAATAATTAAATCTTATATTTTTTGTAATACAAACATAACGATCTTATTTTCAAATATTAGATTTTAATTTAACTTGAACTGTTGCAGGAAGCTTATAAGATGTGGGTGTGCACCACATTTTATAAGTATCAGGTCGAAGCCAGCAACAACGACCTGCAGAGCATAAAGCCCTGCAGATCATTTTGTCACCGGGTGGAACAAAAATGTCCTTTCTTTCTGCCTTTAGACAAAGGTCCAGTACATTATGCTGGAGAACCAGCTTTCTTGTGCCTAGGTAAGCCATTTCATATTACTTTCTTAACTATTTGATTTTAGTTTCTACTTGCTACTAATTCATATTTTTCCTGGCTTATCAGGAGTTATTTTTTATCAATAAAAAATCACATATTTAAACAATAAATAACAAACACAGTAATAAGCGATTTTGAAAGTTTTCTTTGACTATGATCATATAAATTTATAATGTGAGAAGAGTTGGTTGGAAATTTAGTCAAAGATGGCCGCACTCTCTACCAACTCCTACTTCTTGATCTATGGTTGACAATCATTCCAATATTATAAATTTATAATGCATTAAAATATAAATATATGTCTCAAAATATGTAAATACAGACTATTAATACATCACATGTTTGTAAGTCTTGTTCAAAAGACCATATTTCTTCTATCTATAATGTTACGATTTTCCTGTCTATAAAATAAACATCAAATGAAAACTTGTAAAATAATTTAAGGAAATTACACTAGAAAACATAATCATGATTTGACTTTATTAATAATCTGATTTAACTAAATATGATATACTATAAAAAATACTTTAACAAAATAGGTTTCTTTAAAATACACTGAGAGGTGATGAAAGTAGTTTACACTTCAATGTATAAACAGTATCTTACAATAAATTACAGAGATTTTATGTAATAAATGTAATATATAATTAAATTTATAAATAAAAATAGAATTCTTAAATTATTATTTATATAGAATATTTATTCATTAAAATGACTGTATGTCCTTTATATCCAATATAATGAATCCTAATTGCTCTTTTTGAGCATTTGCTTTTTTATATAATTATTGGTATAAAAATTTTAATTTTAATAGGCATTGTCTTCATTATAGCTTACATTACCTTGGCAACAAGCTTTATTGGGAAAAGTTTCCGAAGGATATTTTAATATAAATCAACCACTGATTCTCCAATTGATCCTGGCTGGATATTTCTTTATTAGTGATGAATACTCAACCTGTAAATATTAAAACAGTGTTAAATCTTGATCATAGATTTCCCAATGGTTGAAGCTTTTTCAGACATTCAGAGTTTGAAGTGTAGTTTCCTGACTCCATGATTCACTTTAAAAGTAACACAAGTGATTCACTTTAAAAGTAAAACAAAATATTAAGGAAAAGAAAGATTGTTGCATTGTTCAAATTAAAATGGCAGGACAGCAATTTTTTGAAATTTTAATTTAACTATTAGAGTCCAAGTTTTCATGATAGTATCAATATTGTTTAATCAAATTATCATAACAATGCAAAACACAAAGTCAGTTTTTGATAACTATTTGTAATAATAAGTAATAAATAATACATTTTTAATAATAAAACCAACTTATATGCATAAAAAAATAGTTTGATGTTCTTATGCAAAATAAATGTACCATTATTTATTTATTTATATATAAATATTGATATTTTTACAATAATAATAATACGATTATTTTTCAATACATATCTATTTATTTGCTTATATTTTGGATGCCATGTACACCTTTATAGGTCAGAGGCAACTTCTCATGAATTTCATTATGATATATCTGTAAAGATTGTGTTGTTACAGCTGTATATGTTCTGATTTAAAGATTGTATTGTTTAAATGTATCTGTAGTAATTGTATTGATTCAAAAATAGGAAGAAAATCTTCAGGTTTTCTTGTTGTAGGGCTTGTCGATATCTCAGGAGCTGATAAGAAGTCCTCAATGGATCTAAGCTCAGACAATCTTCTAGGATGTGTTGCTTTGTTATTAGTATGTTACAGCTATGACATCTTGGCTGTGAACTCCACTCGAGGAGGTGCCCAGGAATGAGCCTGGTGTACCCTATTCTGAGGCATGTTATAATACTTTGCTCACCATGGTTTTCTTGTACCTGTAGGAGAGGATTATTGCCATTAAAAAAGCCAAAAAAAATTTCATTTTGTTTGTATTAGAAACTTTTAACCAAAAATTGTACCAGATTTCTTTACATTGGTTCAAAACTGCTGTATTGTAGTCATGCTTTATAATGTTAATGTCAGGTACTGCAAGTATGGTGGATGCTTCACCTTTGTGTATCTTTTTATGTGGAAAGCATGTGCTTTTTAAGCGCGATCTGTAAATTTCTGCATATTGAACCCGTAACAAAACATTATTATTTGTTATTTCATGCAATGAGTGTATTCCAGCAACTTTTTTAGGGCCTCTTCTCTCCCAATTTTTCCATTGAAATCTCCTAATAACACAATTGCATCATATTTGGACACTTTTTTAATATCGCTTCCTTAGACATCATAGAATTCTTCTTTGCCGTCATCGTCAGAATCTTCTGTTGGGACATATACAGAAAACAACAATATATTTTTATATCTACTTTTGAACCTTAGTTTACATAAACTGTTAGAAATTGGGCCAAAATTAAGAATAGATTGATGCAGTTTACTATTTACGTAGAATCCTGTTCCTATTTGACCGGTTTTCTTACCCGGACAGACCATCTCTTCTAAATTCATTCCACCCTATTTCTTGCAATGCTGCAATATCTATATTGTGCTTTAATTATGACATCTATAAGAGCTAAGTATTACTAATATAATAGTTCAAATGAATTGAACCTAAGTTATTTTATTCTATTTGTGATAATTAAAAAGTTCTAATGGGTTATAAGTCTTTATTCTTTGTAGTATTATTTAACCTAAAATTATAAAGATTTGCCCCAAATGATTATTTAGTTTTTTTAGTTAATAAGTGTTTGTATTATTACTAAAAATCTTCAATTTGCTTTATAGTCTAAATAATGATTATTGAAATAAGTCAATGGATTTAATGAAAAGAAAAGAAAATTTTAAAAAACCTCAATTGTTATTAATAGATAATGTTAAGTTTAATTTCAATGAGTTGATGATCAATAATTTCTGTTTAGTATGAATTTATAAAAACTGGTGTGTTAGAGTTAAATTGAAATAAATCCAGACAAAAAAAAAAAAAATGGAAAAGAAAACTTCTCTTTGAATTGAAAAAGGGATTCTTCTCATTACAATTCTGGACTAAAAATTAAAATTTATCATTTTAACCAATTACATCATTTGAGATTTTAGCAACAAAGTCATGAATAAACATTTGTACTAACAATTCGTGTTGATGCTGAATTTATTTTAAAAAATAATTATTATTATTACAGATGCCTTCTTAAATTAATTTTTATTTGTATTTGTGAATAATGCTTCCAAAAGTTTCACAGATCCACACTTAAGTATTGCTCCAATCGAGCAAATAGAGATTGATGATTAACCGAAGTTATACTTCCTCTACTATATTTCAATAAAGCAGTAGAGTGCAATATAATCTTTGAAAAATCTGTTGGTATTTGATTCTAATTTAATGATGAAAATATAGTGACTAAGCTCAAGCAAAATGAGACCTTTATGTAATAAACATGGGCTTCCAGATCAGTTGACTATATTCAAAGAATATGTACTGTTTAATACATAAGTGTTTATTTTATGAGATAAATATGATTTATATTTAATTTTAGTGTACTAAGATGAGATTACTAGTTCAGGTTTATTTAGTCAGCTATTGTGTTATCTGAGGGGATATACCCCAGACCTAATCACATGGAGAGAAATCCTTTTAAGTATAAGGAATCACATATGTGCTTTATAATTGAAATTTAAAGATACTAATATATGTAATAATAGATGGTTACTTTTATGAAGACAAACCCATTTTACCAACATTTTAAAGAGCTAAAGATTTTCCTTCCATAATATGAAAATATCACTTAAATATTTATTCCAAACTTTGTCAGGTTAACATCAGTGCGTAAGATGCTATAATCCTATCTTCTGAGACCCAATGTTCATGTCTGACTAAAACAGATTTTTTTTCTGTAACATCAGCCATAGATTGACCCTGAGATTAGAGAGATCCTCGAGGGGCACATCCAATATTTGTAAAGTCGGTCACTTTCTTTGAGGACCTGGTAGTTGAATGTGATTCAGGCTAAATCATCTCTTGTGGACAGGATGGCCGAATGGGCTAATGCGTGTGCACAGCACTGCAGTTGCCCAGCAACCTGAGATATGACAAATGTTATAAAAATAGTCACGAGTTCTTGTCACGGTGCCAAGGCATCTTTTAAATCCCCGCCCACACCCTCTGGCCCTTTAAAATCCTGTATAGTCTAAACAGCGAGAAAGGGGACTCAAAAAAAAATCATCTCTTTTCATAACCTTTTTTCAAGAAACCATGCTTCCTTACAAAGTATTGAACACAGAGCCTTTATAGAGTGTAGTGGTACAGGATTTTTCTCCCTTTTTAAATCTCTATTACTACAATAGACTGTGGAAGTATTAATTATTAAATGATTTTAAACAAGAAGCAATGATAATGGTAAATCATTTTTGTCTCTCTCTATAAATAATTAAATTATTTATAATATGAACTAGGCTAAGTACCTGGTTCTTTCGAAGTTCATCTAAAACTTTTGAGCTGAAGCCCCCTCCAAAATGCTAAAATATAACCATGTTTTACTGAAAAAAGTATTTAAAACTATCTCTTAAAGTATTCTTGTTCGTATAATTACATTTAATAGGACTTAAGGAACCATTTGAACACCATTTCATATAATTAGTTAATTTCTTTCTTTTTTTTTTTTAATAATTGTTATAAAAAAAAAAAGCTTTCGGGCTGAAGCCCCCAAAAATTAAATCCTGGATCCCCTGGTGCCATATGTGATGTATAAAAAGTTTAATACTGAAACTTGCAAAGCAAAAATAGAAAAGGTGTATTATTTCCATTCTTATACCATTATATATTTGAAATTAACTCCAATAACTCCTTACTATAACTTTTATTTACAGCATCAGTTTTGCAGTTTCCAGTCATAATGAATTAGGAAATCATAAGTAGAAAATATAAACATATGGTAATTTTGGAAGTTGTGGTTTCTGATAAAAGGAAAGATTAAACAACCCAGCACAGAAAGTAGTAAGAGAGTTTGTATTTGAACTGTGCAAGAGATACTAACATCAATAAAACACAGCTATAGTATTAACAATTCCACTCGCTGTTATAAAGTGATGCAATAATTTTTTTTCTAGCTAAGCAGCTAAACATATAAACAGACCTTAATGCATGAACCTATCTATATTTGTTTTCCTTTTTTTCTTTGCCTTCTGGCAACAGAGGTTATTGGAAGTATGACCCCATCCATCAACTTTGGTCTCGCTGACAATTAATGAACTTAATGCAATATGGTTGTTTCCTAATGCTGCATACACACGTGATCTGGTACACTCATTTAGTTTTTCTAACCTATGGTTCTTTATCTTTCGAATGTTAATAACAGTTTTGATAATATTAAAGTGTGTTCTAGAATTTTCTTACTTCAAACCCAAGTAGTGGTTTCAACATGGATTCATAATATATATGGCTAGCTGCCCAGGATTAGAAATGAAATTTTTAATCAGTCTCGGTATGACTGGATGCCTTACTTTCAGTTTTTTTTTTATTTTTTTTTTGTTTTTTTTTATTCCAGTAAAGGTGTCACAAATCTTTTATCTAAAAAAAAATTATTTGCTGAGGGGCAAACCATGTCCACCCAATGGCGGACCAACCCCAGTTTTACAAATTATACAACTGTTCATGTAATTATACTATTGGTTGCTCAAATTGTATTAACTGTAATTTACATGTATTATGTTGCTCAGATTGTATTATTTTTTCAATATAGTGCAAGCTGAAAAAAAAAATTTTAGTCTTTTTCCCAATATTTTAGTTTATTAAGATTGAAAAATAATAAAGGTTACTAAAAACTTTTTACATAATTTTAGTATCCAGATTATCTAAAAACAGAAAAAAGTTCTAGCTTGCAAGAAAGATCTTTGTTATTATTTGCTATGGGTCTAAGCGGTTTAGCATTTTTATGCGACTTGATCAATCCATTTTTTCTAGAATTTTCTAATTATAACCTAATATTAATTATTTTTTATTAATCAAAATTTGCATATACTTTTTGGCTATTTGCTTTTAGTTATTTTCATGCATAGCTCATAAACTATTTTTAGGACTCTGATGATAAATTAAAAAAAAATAAAAATGATTAGAGCAGTGATTAAGCATTCTATTACAACTGTTTTCATTTTTTCCATTAAATAGTTGGTACATTATAAAGTTCCATGCTGAGGATTAATCATTTATGATAGTTATTAAATTATTCTTATATTCAAATGTAGAGTCCCAATAATCCGAACTTCATTCATCTGAAAGTCAGCTTAATCCAAAACAGAAATTGAGGTACATACTTTGGAATAACAAAGTAAGTTTAGAATAAAGGCAAAGTGTTACTCAGCAATAAAGTATATTTCTGAAAATCATAATTCAGAGATTATTCACTGTACATTAAAATACCACATCCTTCACTTTCCCACTCCCCTGGGACCTTGAAATGTTTTTTCAGACCATTTTAATAATCTAAAGCCTCGTAGTTGTGATAGTCAACTTACAACCACTATACACATCAATTTTATTCACCTCCTTGCAGCCAGATTATTTTGGAAAAACTCTTGCTTTTCATTGACCAACAACTGTGCTGGAATAATCAAATTTCCCAAATTATCCGAATATGCATTGCTACCCTTAAACAATTCCTGAGATTCCGTGACTATATGTCTCTTAAAATCAGTTGGCTCCTAGTTTTCACTCTCATTTTCCTTCACTTCGATTATGGCTGCTTGTATATGGTGGACTGTGTGGTGGGCTTGAGATCAGATTAAAGAGACTAATGAATTGTTTCATTGGATTTATCTTTGGAGTCCCCAGGAACTCCCACGTCTCCAGTTGCTATGCCGAATTGAAGTGGCTCTGTCCAATTTTTCCGATAGCAATATTTCCAAGGTGTATTCCTGTTAATTATTAAGTTATTGATTTTTACTTCCTATACTTAAGTTCTTGAACATTCTCATAAATTATAATATATTTTTCACACCAATGTTATTATTGTTTTTTAATTTACTTCATTTAGAACTAGGAGGATTGAAAGGACTCATGAAATCCTTAAGATTTGTCTTCGGTACTTCGAGGCGGTCTCATGTATCCCACCTTAAAGAAGAGTTAAAGTGACACTTCCCTTCTTTCCGCTGTCAATATTTCCTTGGATCTTACCAATTCCAAACAATCAACACCCGGCATCCTTCCTACATCTACAGTCTCCTGCAGTTCAAATCTGTAGTCTACTCCCAGAATATAAGATCCCATGTTTCCGACCTTTGCATCCCTTCCCATGGAACTAAAATATTTGAATATTCTTTTATTGCCTGATCCACTGCCTTCTGGAGTGATGTTGTTGTTTTGTTTCTGTTTTAATCAGGGCTTGTATATGAGATTCATTACAATCTTTTGTTGACAATTTTTTTTAATTTGTCAGTACATCTTTCTTAATGTATTATTGTATATAACATATGAATTTTCTCTGCAAAATCTATAGAAGATTTATTTCTATTTATATTTGTCATTTATAAGATTATCCATTTTATTCTCCTAATTGGCTTAAATAAAACACAATTTTTTTTGTTGTATTTTATTTATTTCATCATATGTAATAACAGCATATTAATTCATTGTTGGTTCTTAATTTTTTTCAAATCTTTAAAACGTTTTTATTTATTTTTAGTTCATATTTAATTATTTAAACTTGAACAGATTTTGTTTCTGATGGAAAACATGTGGTTTTCAGAAATATTCATATTATCAAAAATATTTTCTGATAATATTCAATAATAACAACTTCCAATATAGAAAAGGTTTTTTAGCGTCATTATATTTATCATGTTTTCATTCTAATCTCCATTTTATGAAAATAAAAATATTTATTTGGAATTTTAATTTTATTACATCTAATTGTGGATTTACATTTTGAGCATTAGTTGGTTATCTTTGAGAAAGATTACGTTATTATTCATGTTATTACTTATTATTTTATTAATTAATAACTTTTAGATTTTTTTTATTATTCTATTCAATTTTTTGTTTAGTCTGATTTTATTTATTACAATATTGAGATATAATTAATTAATAAATATTACAATATCTGAATTAAAATATGCAGCACTATATTAGCTTTATTTTCTTTAAAAGTAGATTGTTTATTTATCAAGTGATAAATAATGTTCTAATTTAAAATGACTTTTACTTTCTAACTTGCTATTGATTCAGAAATTCAATTAAAGTAATCCATATTAGCCTAAAATATATTAAACATTTTGTTATTAATATAAAGTAATTATTAGTTGATAGATTAAGATTCAATTATTGATTAATAAGTAATTCTAACATAATTTTCTATTATTTGCAGACCCTAATATTGAAGAGACGGGTGAACAATTGGAGAAGTCCTCGTATGGACCAAGCACGTGCTGCTACGACGCATGTGGGTCGGACGTATGCCTTCAAGGCAACTGTGAGGTTGCAGAAGCTGTGACGGACTCGGAAACATCCAGCAGCAGCAGCCGAACGTTAGTAGCAACACCGCTCATTGTCCCCCTCCTACTGTACAGGACTAGACTCCTCCTCATATAGCACAGACTCTTCTAAAGCACAGCGCTCACACCTCTAGCCTCAAGTCACATTTTTCACCTTCGCCACTGTCTTACAGTGATATTTGTGGAGAGGACAATGTTTTTTCAGACATGTGTACATAATATTTACGATAATTAGACTTCATTGTGGCCTTGCAAAGTAATAAAAAATAATAATAAATGATGTGCACTCTATGCTCCTGAGAAAAATGTTTGCTGGGCAAACTATTCTCTGCCAAATGACTTGCACATCAATTAATAAATAAAATAAAAGGGAAAAAGATTGTAAGGATAAATTTTTATACGCTACCCCTTCCCCTTCCCAATTCCTTTTCTTTGTGAGAGTGATCTCCAGAGACTTTTTTACTTTTATGTGATGAGCAGGGCAAAGAGTTATTTGAAAACTTTTTGGTGAAAAATGTAACATGACGCAATATTGGTAAAAAAAAGTGCAAAAGTGATACAGTTTAATGAGAATTGAAGAGACTTATATAATTTATCGAAGGATTTTTGTGTTATAATGAGAAGTGGACAAGACTTTTAAAAAATTATTAAAATGTAACAAAAGTCCATAGGTGCCTGAGTGTTTGATTAGGGGTCTGCCTTGGAAGAAGTGGTTTAGTGTTTGTGCTGATGCATCAAATAATTGTTTGGTGATAAACTTTTAAAATGAAATAAATACTTTTAAATTGTGAAAATTTTAATAAATATAAAAACATTTGTTAACCTCGAACTTTAGATGAGAGAGTTGATGTGTGTGTTCAAAGTTATATTTTAATTTTTAACCATATAGTTTGTATTTGACACATTGTCCAACCTTAAGGCATGCAGAGAACTTGTGGTCGACAGAAAGATACCCTTGGCCTTTTAGAAATATTGTTCCCACAGTAAAGTAGTTCTGTTTACCACAACTTTCTCTCAAACTGCCACTCTTGTGGAAATTATGATAGATTTTGTTAGCCTGCCTAATTGACTGGACACCAAACGTTGGGGCTGGGTATACAGCTGTTTGTATAGCTATCACTACTTTAATCCAAATTTCTTAACTGATGTCAATTATCTCACATGTAGGCTATTGTATATTATTTTATTAACTATGTAAGTATATGTATCTTGTTGCAAATCATTAATTATGTTATTTGTCTATTTATGATGGAAGTTCTGGCATTCATAAATAATCTCAAATTTAGGAATTAATGAATTACTATGGTTTTAATTGAGGATTCTCCCATTCATAATTCCATTTATAAATAAAACTAAACTAAAATAAATGAATAAAATTAAGGAATGGACCTCCTCAGAACTGGAATAATGTATGTGATATGCTATGAGCACTTTGTACCATTATGTTTGGTAGGTAAAATGTTTATATTCCTGGCCCCAATCTTTATAAGAGAAAAATGTTATATTAACTAATATTTACACTTTAGGTACAAAATAGGACTGACAGTATACAAATAAGTTCCTTCGATACATAATTTTATGTACATCACAGTGAGCTCCGAAAAGAAATTTTTTTTTAAATTTTATCAAAAGCAAAAAAGCAGGCCTAATTTATCATGGATAATGGAATAGGAGATCTCGAAATGATTTTCAATAAGTTTTTATCATCATGTACATAAACAAATACATGTAAACATATATAAATTCAAAATTAATATAAATTAAAATAATAGTTTGTCAAAATCAAACAAATAGAAAAAGCCTTGTTGTAATTGGAATTTTTTATGCAATTTTTTTAAATTGTACAATATTTATATATTTCTGATATAAATGTGTATTCTTAAAAATCTTAATAATTTCCCATTAATTGTTAAATTAAAAAAATGCAAAACTATAGAAACACAACTCAAAGGATGTGATATGGATAATTATAATTTGTTTTTGTAGTCAGTAAAACTTTGTTAAATATGAATTTTTTAAATATTTTAAAATGAGAGATCTCATAAAAAAGAGTCCTTTAGACCTGTTATGATTAATATTGTTTGTTTAAGGAAATTAGTATATTGTTTATCTAACCAGAGCTCATAGCAGAGGCGATATTAAATGCTCAGGTTAATTGGAATTTTGATGATATTTTGGAAGCCTGATCAACTTGTTTTTAAATATGTTCTTCTCCTCTGTTATGAGCTCAATTTTGTTTATACTAGAAGACAATATGTATTTTAACAAATATAATGAGTATTAAACGGAGCTGTCCATTACAGAATATAGGTTTGTTCAGGTCCTCCTGTAGCTGATATCAATGCACAGTATAGGAATGTGTTAGAGCAAAAATAAAAAATAAAAAAAAAATTGATTATCTTCCAAAACATTATAACCCTCCTGCAAATTTCCAATAGTGCTGTAGTAAGATTAATTAACAAGGATACAAAACCTTTTTACAATTAAAACAAAAAAAAGTCTTTTAGAGTGAAAATTGTCTTTAGTTCCATTACAATGATATTAAGGTACAATATAAACTTTCTTAGGGAAAAAAAAAACAATTTCATTCAGAAGATTTTCTAAACAATCTTTAGAGAATATTTACCCAAAAGGTGTTGTTGTTAGAACAGATATATATATATAAATATATTAAAGTGGGTTAGATTTATTTGAAAATTGGATACTGGGAGAGTCTTGTTTAATAATTATACTCGGGTATTAAAATAGCTGGTCTATAGTCAATTATTCAATGCATTATTAACTTATAATTTGTAAACAGATTTAGCATTCACTAAAATTTTTAAATTAAAAAACTTATATGTCTGAACACCACAAGCCACAATACATATCTCTAACAGTTTTATTGTTGTTTATTGGGTTTAACACCCTTGTGTACTCCAAATATGGAAGGATAGATTATCTTATGGTTAACCGACCGATTCTAGTTAGAGTGGAAAGGTCGAGATTTATTAGGTGAGTCAGCCATAAAATGACAGTTTATATCTGGAAACAACACAGTTTTATTTCTTAGTAAAAATATAATATATGTGTTACTAATTTTTAAATAGCAAAAAATTTATTTTGTCAATACTTTAAATAAATAAGAGCCTTCCAACAATATACATACCTGAAATATTTAGCAAACAGTAATGTGAATTGAAACTTAGATAAGTTAGTACAATGCGATTGCGTCCGTACTAATTTCTTTTTGTTACCTGAGTAATTTGAATGGCCTTATTATAATATGAATATACTGTATCAAATTCGTCTTAAGTACTAACACATGTATAATACAGAATGAAAAGTTATAAATTGTAAATGCACCCTTAGTATCAAACGTGAACAATTTTTTTTAATTTGTTATTCATTTTTTTTCTTTACTTTTTTAATGAATAAACTGAGGTTAAAGAGGTTTTAGATTCTGTAGTTATGTATCTCAATAGCAGTATAAAGTATAAAGGTTGTTGTATCATTCACTTATCCAAATTAAGCAATTGTAAAATATTGTTTTCAAAGCCTAATTAAATAACCCAAAACGTGTATTATTTACAACGAATACTGTTCCAATCATCATGAATATAATTATAGTAAAGAATGGTTTTCTTCAGCGTAAAGTTTTTATATAGGACCTAAAACATAGGTAACAGCACAAACTTGTATACTAAGTATTTTCAGCTTGGGCATATTATTTTATGCAAAACATTACCATTATTAAAGTAAATATTACTTTAAAAAATATTTAATATATTTGTATCTCTAAAGTTGTAAATACTAATTGGTTCGTTAAGGTTTAGTTGGTATCATATTTTTGCATAAAGTAATTTGACCAAAGAATTGTACAGTCTGTCTGATAGTTGCCTCCCAGAAATATTGTTAAGCAATATTTGTTAGATAAAAAAATTGAGAAAATGTATAACAAAATCAATATAATATCAAACATAAACAATTTAGAATATATGAGAGATTAAGTAGAGCACTGTTTGGAAAAATATAATTTGTTTTTCTATTGTATACCAACAGTTAAATAAATAAAATTTCTTTAATGTGGTGAAAACATTCAGAGATACTGAGGCCCAAATCAGAATATTAATATTGTAAACAAACCTGATTTATATTCAGGTATTATTCCTTCAATTGGAGAACCTATTTTTTCCCCATAATAAAGGAAGTGCTGTCAAATCGTAAGTCAGATGTGATAATCTCAAACTGTTAGCCAGATAACATTGATGTATGATAGAGGTAAACACCGCTGAAAACGCACAAATCTAAGTTTCAATTAAGTTCAGAAGAAACAATTCGTTTACCAATCTCGATTGGTTTAAATAAAAAATATATAGATATTTTTAATTTGAACATTCAATTCTGAAATTGGTTGAAACTAAAATGATTGGGCTCCTCTTTGATTGATATTGCTTTTGAGTAAATAAAAGCTAATTTATAATTGTTTTATACGAGGGTTTGTAAACTTTTTTTTCCACTTACATTGTTATGTATTTCAAGAAAATGAGAAATACAAAAGAAAATATGTTATTGTTGTTGCAATTTTATTCTTATCATAAGAAAATACTAAGTAAACTTGAATATGCACTTGACTGTATTTTCAAAAAAAAATTCTTTTTATATATTTTAGAGTGAAACATTAGTGAGAGAGGACAATAGGCATCACTTTATTGTGTATCTTCCGTTAATTAATCAGTTCAAAGATTTTATTTTTATATTTTTTGATGGAGGAAATACAGTCAACGATTAAAACACCTGACATTCATTGTAATCACTTATGCTGAAAAATCAATTAGGATATGAAATTGGTTTTATTATGAGTCATAAATTCATAATAGCATGAGATAATTACAATTTAGTCAGATTAACAGAATAAAAATAAATTGATTATTAGATAAATATATAAATATATCCCTAGTGACATGTTTTTGTAAAACAAAACACTATCGGGTTGAAATATAATGTGTATAATGTTTATTAAATGCAACATTCACTGGTTGCCATGGTTACGCTCGCTGTGTACATATTATTCATATAAACAGATTGGTAATAAAAACAATATGCGATTGAATACATTTATTTTTTATTTTCCTTTATCCTGGACAACAGTAAAATCTGGTCAAATCAAAAGGTAGTTTTACTCTTTATAAGCAGAGATTAGAATTTTAAGCTGTAACAAATCTAAAAGAATAAAAATTTACAATGTTATGCTTTAGAAACCATAACAGTAAAAAGTTTTTCTAAAAGTTATATCAAGTAAACAAGCTATTTGATAATATTTTCGTTGTCTTTTTTAAATCTTCTCTATGTTATACGATAAATAAGAGAAACAAAAATTTGTCAAAGTTTGTAAAAATCAATAGAATCAGAAAATAAAATTTTAAAAATATTTTCTCAGCTTTTAGAAAACAAAGATTGATTTAGTAACATAAAAACATTTAAAAATATAAATAAAAGTTAATTATTAATCAAATATTTGTATATAATGATAAATTTTATTGAAAATATCCCACAATATTAACTCAAGTTTACAGACTTCCGTACTGATGGTAAACATTTGAAGCTGATGGTAAACAATGATGGCAGACAATGAAAGCCTTATAACTTTTTAAGAGCCATTAGTTTATGAAAATGGCGAAACTCGTATAAATGTAAAAAGAGAGACTTGAAGGTAAATAAATGTTTCTGATC